GACAAACTTGAAGTTCCTACTCAAGAAGATGTTTTAACTGCCATTCCTTTCCTGCCTGGAAATGCTAGTGGAATGACGGACGAGTGAATTTCATCACAAGTATTATTTTGTTGGATCTGTAATTCCTGTTATCTTTATCATCTTATCATCTTCATCATTTTATCAATTTATCAATTTATCAATTTATCAATTTATCATTTTATCATTTTATCAGTTTTATCTTTTCATGCGATTCATCCGCTTATCCGCTTATCCGCTTATCCGCTTCATCATTTTCATCATTTTTATCATTTTTATCATTTTTATCATTTTTATCATCTGTTGTCGTTATCTTTTATCATGGTATCATTCATGGTTATCTTTCATCACTACAGTATATTACAAATGTATTTTCCCTTAACTATGCTTTATTCGAAATTTTATATTAAAATTGCAACCAATCAAACCGAACTGCGATGAGCAATCTCGTGGGGTCAGCCGAGTTATCGTGGTTTGAAAAAACAACCCTTGGACATCCTAGGGTTCTCAATGTCCAAATTTCATCCAAAGGTCATCCACCGCTCAGCAGGCTGGATGCCCAATGGACGGCACGAGAGGATCCTTTGGGCATCGGTGCTGTGATTGCCCTTACAACAAACCATAACGACGTCCGAAGGATGTTGTTCCGCGCGTTCTGGGCTGCCCGATGGGACCCGCTCAGGCGTCTGGACTTCGGAGTCCGACGGACGTTTGTCCGTGTGCTGTGGGAGGACGTCCGTCACCCACCAAGAAAAATTGGACATCCGGTGGACATCCAACTGTCCTTGTGGTGTATATGTAATGTGCTGTACATGTGAGCTCTGTGACATTGGGTATCTAGTGACAGGGCTCGATCACTTCAAACTCCAATAAGCCAATGAGAACGCGCAAGCGATTACCATCACCAATCCTCAAGCCACAACAAAACCTCAACTTCAAAACTATCACTGATTCCACTTAGCCTGTCCCTTGAAAAACTTATAAGCGTATAGTCACGATGGAATGTTCATTTGGTATCACTGGTACGCAGAAATCATTGTTGGTCTGTGGTCTTGAAGTAACATAGTGTAAGGAAAACACTGACGCTATTGACTCATTCAGGCAAGGATTTTGTAATCTTGTTTGTTGTTGAACCCTGCTTGGAAGTACTAGAAGAACATTTACTAATATGTTTCAATATGCGATCTCATCCCATGTCTCTCGTAGTGCCTCCGACTCTTGTGCGAATCGTAGTATCGTCAAGATGAAAGCAGGAGAGGATAAGCAAAAAGTAGTTTCTAAACACGTAGTGATGGCTTACTCTGGAGAGCCTGGTGAGCTCTTTGAATCTGGTATTGTCACTCAGAAGAACCTTGGTCTCATTGACATTGTGAAATCTTTCAGGTGATACGGTCCAATTTGCTGAATACGTCGAACGTAACTTACGACTTTATGGTATCAGGTACTTCATACTTCCAATGACACAGTCTTTTGATTGTGAAATCTTCCTGACCAGACCTATCATCCCTCGGTCAACAGAAATCACGTAGAGCTTTTACCCCATGAGGCTGCATCTTGGACTCGTAATCAACTTGCCACTTCACTTAGGTCTCGTAAACCTTATTCAGTCAACATGTTACTCGGTGGTTACGACACAGCACGATCAGTACCAATGCTTTATTGGATCGACTATTTGGGTACGATGGCTGAAGTACCCTATGCGGCACATGGATATGGTGCCTATTTCTGTTTGAGTACGATGGATAGATTTCATAGCCCAGACATGAACCTTGAAGAAGGTCTTGCACTTCTCAAGCGATGCATTGATGAACTCAACACTCGATTCATTGCTAATCTTGGAAGTACGTATATATACCTCTTATAAGAGTACAAATATCTTGGTATACTCATTTATCTTTCTTTTTTGTCACTTTCTTAATTTCGCAGCATTCAAGATCAGGGTGGCTGATAAGGAGGGTGTTCGGGAAGTAACTCTGTAATATCTTTTGACGATGTAAAACAATTTTAGTTCCCCTTTGAAGTCTGCTCTCTGGGCCTCAAGTCTCAGTCGCTTTAGATCGTCTAGATGCATCCCAGTGACCAGAGATTGACATTTGCTTTAACAAAATGTGTCAGCTGTGTGTCTCAGAGACGTTTGCTACGAGAAAATCGCGTCAAGAATATAAATGATGTGCCCTCTGGGCTGTCACCGTTCCCGTTGGAAAAGACTGGCGAAAAGACTGCTAGGTCTCGTGTGTGTTCATGTCAACTCGGTGATGTGGCTCGTTGAGCTCCATCGTTGGAGATGCCGGTGCCCGACAAAAATCATTCGATAGATCCTTTAGTACAGCTCGCCACGAAAGTACATATATAACCAGAAGTATAGAGCCAGAATCAGTCTTGTAGAGCTAGAGCCGGTTTCAGTAGCACTTGACAGAGTATATCTTGTGGTGTGTAGCCAGGCTGCTGAAGTTATCTGGATCTGATCACCTAGAGATGGCCTAACATTCGAGTGGGTTGAGAAATACTTCCATGAGGTCCAGGAGGCCGTGATGATTCCTGAATGCAAACAAACAATTACGGGTATCATTGTTCCATAGAGTCTGCGTCTATATCTCTGAGATGAGAATTTTCGCGTAATTTCAAGATACATTCCCTCCAGCATACAAGCTTAGAGAGCAAACCAGCTGACCCGCTAAGCATCTGAGTTAGATGTCGGCTTATGAGTCAAACTGCTTAGTTGTACTGGGGAGAGCATTTGAAGTAGATTTAGAAGAGTCACGCCTGTGGGCACCATGGCGAAAATTTCAACCTGGTGCTCACGCGCCTGAAGATGATTTTCAGTTGGTCCTTCAGGAGAAAAGCTTGAGCTTGACCTGATGTTGTCACTGATGAAGCAATCAATCCGCACTTTGGAATATGTAAATTTCGAGCTGCTCGTTCTCCAGGTCTCACGACTCCCTCAGAAGATATTCAAGGCAAAGTACGTGACGGTGAAAGGGACTATTCATTCTCGTGGACGTCAGCTGAACTCAGCTGGAGAATGAATGCGGCAAATGCAAATACTACAGCAACACGCTGATGACTTCTCAGCTTATGCGCGCTATACCTCAGCTCAAAACTTGTAGATAAAAACAAGCCTGGTTGCTAGTTTTGGGATCTTCAGAATCATCACCCTAGAGAGTTCATCTACACACCATTCAAATCATTCACTACTTCTTATACGAAAAGTTCAAAAATGCTTTATAAAGACTTCGCTAACCCATCCACTCCTTCACAGCCTACTTTGGCAACTCGTCGCCGCGCTTCATCTCTACCAGAATTGCATGAGTTGCGTGCAAGACGAATCTCGTATGATTTCGATCCAGCTTATTATAGTCTGAGAGGAGACATAATAACATCAGAAGAGGTGTTTTTAACCGCGCAGTCTTCGCCCAACTCATCTTCAGACTATATACCACTAGCATCAATTGAGACACGTGAGGCGTTTGCAGCAATCGAACGAAATAGGATCTCTTCGAATTTGAATGATCAATTTAATGATTCCTTGATATATAGCGATGACTATATTCCTCTATGGTCAGTCCTTTTTGTATCATCAAAAGCTAATGTTCATTCACAAACATTTACGCATTTTTTTCATATGCAGTTCTTATAGACCACTCCGAACTTGGAAGCGTGTGAACGAAGTCCGTGAAGACCGCCCAAGTTCGCCTGATCACTTCTATGGATCTGACCAGACGCTTAGCCGACGTGAACAAATATTGAAGCTATTTCCAACGATCCCACCGCCACCACAGGTCCCTTTACCCTCACTTCCACCCCCTATCTTTCTTAGTGGTAGTGGGGCTGCAGAGATAGTTTGGAGATATCAGACTGAACCAGCCCTATCCCGAGCTCCATCACCACCTACAAGCTTACTCCGGAAAGCTTCAATTGGAACCTTTGGTGAACCTAGTGAGTAATCTTACGCTAAAATCTGTCCAACAGAAACCAAGAGGCGATATTTCAATCGAGCTCAACTTTTCGGGCTCTTTGTTGAATGATATACAGAACTTTCTCCTGCAAGAGCACTTAAACAATCTTCAGCATTTCTTAGACCAAGAACCATGTCAGGAAAATTGCTCAAAATGTTTAAATACGGTCGAGATTGAAATAAAAAGAAAAATGAAGGAGAGAAATAGAGATATTTTTGATGAATAGATTGTTTCTGGATAACATCTTTCTGTTGGGTCCATTGTTCTGGTTACTGGTGGAAATGAAATTTTAAAGTTGATCTTCTGAAATCCTTATTGTGAAAGGCTTACTGAAATTGATCGATCAGGTTTTATTAAGGTGAGAAAGCTGGCTCTATAATTTAGAAACTTTGAGTCATAATTTAATTTCTTTTTCAAGGGATGGTCAACTTGTGATGAATTGCATACACATTTCTAATCATCTTTTGTGTTCATAATCATCGACCTTTACATATTCACTGAAATTCTTAAGCCTTTATTAATGGGTTGACTCACACTCCTGATCATTTCTCAGAACATGATACGTTTATACTTATATCTACTGAGCTTCACATCATGCCAGATCTTCTCATCTTCTACACTTTTTTATCATTTAATGTGACGCCTTACCTCACAGATGTCTCATCATATCGCTATTCATACAAAAAGCACACAAGAGTCTGGTGATGACTGCCCAAAGACAAGGATGGCATCAAATGTGTAAGCACAAAGATTCAGCTAAGCTTACAATGACGCAGTAGTATAGGATGTACATATATACGACTTTCCAGAGCCACAGCTGAACAAAACTGAAGTAGAAGCCATGCTTTGAGAGCGCAGATGCCACCGCGCCATGGTAATAGTCAAGCTTGACAAAAGATTATGAGGGGCTGTGCCAGAGTACAATATACATTGCCCTTTTTCTCGCGAGTGTGCGCTTTAGTTCTCGCTGGATACAGGTCTTCAGTTTGACCAATACAGCCTGGTATCGTCTAGTGGTTAGGACACCAGGTTCTGATTCACCAGTACATCCTGGTGACCCCGGTTCAAACCCGGGTACCAGGTTTCTTTTTGCGTTCTGGACGGGGCATTGGGCTTTTCGGACCTTGCCAACAGCGAGGGAGGTTTTGTTTCGTAATGGGATTCCAGAAATCATCTTGATGATTACTTCGGTAACCTTTTGACATGATGAAATTTGACCGAACTGGTTGCACGATCGGTTTTGAGATCTTTTTGTATGTGCCCTAGATGCCCAGGTAAGCATCTGAGGCATGCACAACTTGGTATTTTGAGGTTGTGTGAAGTTACAGCTGAAAGAAAATAGGAATCCAACAACATTATCCTAACAACAGAAATTCTAAACAAAAAACAAGAGCTCAATTATCTTCGCCCCATCAGATTCAAAGAAGTGGATGATCATGATACAGTGTGATGAGCGGGGACGAAGAACCGATTGAAGTGGCATCCATTGGCCCAATGTGTTGTGCCAGATATATAACCCTCAGTGTTACTGAACCGAATGACGCGGTTGACTGTATCTTCCGAGACGGAAGCAATTGTTCATGATGTGTCGATGAATATGTGCCTCAAAAAAATCATTATGACCGGCGGAAACATTCAACTGGGTTACAAGTACCAATACCCTGCGATGGGGATGCTGAGGATATACTGGATTATATGTCCTAGAATGGTTGGAATGTAAGTGACGGGGAGTCGAGACGAAGCGTTGGGTATGTTGGATCTCCGAGTCTACCAAAGAATAAAACCTCACACGCTGATACGACCCAACCAACCCTTGAGTGCTTTCCAAGATAGGCGTTTGTAGACTCAGTTGAGAGACTACAAGAAGAATCGTCGAGAGTCAGAACTCACTTGTGAGCACTGAAATTCAGCTGGCCATGATCCAGGAAAGGTCTAGGATCCTTTGGTTTTTGAGTTACTTCACAGCTTGATGTTCTCAGTTTGGTGGTGAGCGAGTCTTTTGACATTGATGTAGAGCGGAGCTGGCCTCAAGGATTTCCCGAGTGTTGCCGTTTGGCTTCTTGATGACCAGTCTTTAAAGAAAAGTGTGAACAAGAATAAATCTTGACAATGAAGGATCTGGTGTGTCTGAATGCCTCCTGTCACTCTTAGGCTTTGACTCGAACGCAACTCAAGTGACTCTGACTATCTGGTCACCTTTCGCGGCGTCATCTTCGTATGCGTCCTCTTGAGGGGCATCGGACCTGTACACTGGGCCGACATTGATTCCTTTCTGGACACAATGAATAAGTATTGAAGCTCACAAAGCGGCCAAACTGATGACATCAGACCTCACACAATTCATAAGCCAACCACAATCAATCACGAGGAGATCACATATAGAGATTGTTGAGAAAAATGTTGACCCTCAATTTCGGGAAGCATTCTAATCGCTCACCAGTCACTGTGGGTCAAGATGGGATATAAAGAAAACTCGGCTCTTGGTGTCACTCTTCGAATTAGATAACAGTGCTTCGGAATTGTGAAAATAACACTTTATTTATATCCTCAGAGGTTCTGTTGCCAGAAACTAATCCCCTGTACAAAGAATTCAGAGACCAGCGGTATGATTTATATATTGAACGCGCTGGTCATTGTCTGTGAGCTTGAGGCTGAGCTTTGTGAATATATGTGCTTTTCGTCTTTTTACCTTTTCGGCCGTTTGCTATATTCACACTATTAATAATTGAGTTGGTGTTAGACTTGCACCCGTGAATCGATGCAAACATTCCAGCTCCAGTCCAAGGCGTTATTGCTCCTAAAACAAGACTGATGCAATATTGATCAAATGTTGTGGACCCATATAATGTACTGCAACACTTGTCAGATTGAAAAACATTCACGATTGAATGCCTTCTGCTCAAGCTTGCTGGCCCATTAGGCTTGGAACTATCACTTAGATCTTTCCAAATATAAATGATGGCCGAAAATCAAACCTATCAAGGATCCATCCTTGGGTTCAGGATCTTTTGGGGCTGATGACACAGTCGCGAATATAGAAAGCCACTTAGTTATCCAAAGTGGAAAAACTAGGTAGATATTGCACTTACAACGCGTGTCTTTAATCTCAAGTTCACTTTTATGAGTGGGCGGACAGCTTGTGGGCGTGATTTGACGTCGTTTGCTAAGCCTGACCGGAATGACAGATGAGGCCAAACAAGAGAAGGGATGTACGAAGAGTCCTCAAGAGGTCGGGACGGTAATGGTTCAGACCCATCGCGTCTAAGCCCAGAAACCTCCACGATGCGTGAGGCACAAGTTGGCTACGGGAATGGAATCTGAATATGCTCGGTTACACGAGATAATCAAAATGCTTTGTCTTCATTCCTGCAAAGGCTGCAAGTAGTATATATATAGACTCGAGCTCTCATCATCCCACAGTCGATCATACAGAAGTACTAACTACAAGTCGTAAAATTGGAAAGTGTGATATATATGATAACTAACGATTCGTGAAATCGAGTGATCCAGAGTGTCATGATGTCCGACGTGTTTGTGTCCCAGCGATAACCGACCCACGACAGTAAGAGCTCGAAGGACATCGAAAGCACATCGAGATACGAGACCGTGATATCGAATACGGCATTGGAAGCATCAATCAGAAGCGGAAGTGAACTTTGAAGCTTTGATTTCGTCTTTCGCGTCTCAATTCAAAAGGAGGCTATCTAGTGCATCCGGGTGTGGTTCGCCGTGTCATCTGGAACTAAGAGCGAATGTGTATCTTCCGATAATAAGGTGGGGTCCACCGTCAAATTTGATAGTTGATTTGAACGCTCCTCTGAAGAAGAGTACGCGCAAGCCCATAATAAATGACGAATACAAACAATCAGATCTAGTTTGAATCTGAGCAGGGAGATATGATATCTTCAACTTACTCCGAGTAATCTCGACCACATCCCGAACAATTCCGAGAAAGCAGTGCCGGAGAGGTTTAGAGAATGTGTGATAATCTAGTCGTGTGAGCACTTCACTAACATCGACTGAAAACGTAGTTCCTTCAAACTCCATGGGTACATCGATGGTTTTCTTCTTCTTAATCAAAGAGTCTTGATCACCATCAGATCCCTTAGTGGGCCGACCGCGTTTGCGTTTGGGTGATGTGGAAGCGTTCGAGTCAACGATTGATTTACGTGGCCTTCCTCGGCCTCGCTTGACAGGCGTATCAGCGGAATCCGGCTTGGATGTGGGTTCAGATGTGAATTTTACTGATGATGGGTCTATTGACATATTCGAAGTAGTAGTAAGTGATCGATTTGTAGAGTGCTTGGTGACTTCAGCTGGTTTATCGCAGACTGAGAGATCAGGGTGAATCAAAGAAGCGGAATCATAATGTATGCATGATGTGCATCGGGAGTTTAAGTCAAGCCGGTACCGAGTATACATGTGTCAAGAGCATCCACTGATGATCCAGATTCCACAGCAGAGTCATGCATGATGCGGGTGTGTGACAATGTGGGTCGTGAATCAATTATCAGACACATGTAAAGGATCACCCTGACGTGCCTGACGTACCTGACGTGCCTGACGTGCATGCAGATGCTGCAGAACAACCTCAGCAATACCATGCTCTTACGAGGGCTGTGACAAACAAAAGCCTGTAGGTTTTCATGCTCAAGGAGACGAACTTTGAGCGTCTTTTTGAGTATTGTTAACTTCAGAAAAGTTTGTTCAGTTGTCCCGCGAGTCTTGACAAGGTGCACCGACGGCTTCCATACGCAAGAGGACGGGTGTGGTTAAGAGAACAAGTTTTTTGAAGTTGGGGGTCAGGAAACAAAGATCGGGAGGATCGAAAGTTGGAACTCACACAAGGTGACCGTAGGAATCTTGATGAGGAGATGTCAAAACAAGCAAATTGTAGGTCCCAGGAAGGGCTTGTTCAAGCTAAGTCCCAGGATAATCCCAGCGTTCAAAATTATTACAGAAATCGTGTGAGCGCTTCTGAATATGACTCAATCAAAGGGCACCGTCATGATTTGGTCTAGAATTATTGAATGAAATCCAAAACATTGCCATAGCCCGACGAATTCAAAAGTAACAACAATACAAAGAAGTGAGAAATCAAAAACAAAGAAAATCTCGAGAAAGAGTGCCATACCTTACACCCTTTTCACCTTCAAAAACACACAACATATCAAAAGGAAAGGAAAGAAGATATGTATGTATATAGAATGGCGCTTATAAAGGAAACCGTTTGACCGGAAAGTAAGAGAACCGGAAGACGGTTGACCCAGTGCGTAGTCCCTCATTTCATGTCGAGAAGTTGAATACATGGACTGTGACTACGCGTTGACCATTCTTCAACTTGGAATCTGAAGCCAGTCAAAAATGAGACGCTCGAAGTGTGCGGTAGAGGTAGAGTTGTTATTCTGCAACACAAGGTAAATAGTCATCTTGGTGAGTCGAAGAATGCAACTTGCTTGATGGTGGTCTGTACCTCACATCTTTGGTGTGTCATGTAGACACCGTTTTGACTATTGACTATAATCATTCTATTTGACCCATTGATGTATTTGTGCAGGTTTTTCAATTTGAAGGGTCTTTCATCTTTTTTTTTTGGAGGACTGACCAGTTCTTTGGCAGCTACGATTACCAAGCTCCCTCGCTCATGAGTCGCCGAGGTCGTGAGGGAGCTTGATAAGTTCGCTTGCCAACTATCTTTGCTTGAACTTACCAAAGTGCATCCTTGATCAAATTCCTACCAAAACCAAGCCAAACTAATGGGAAAGAAAGTAATTATACTGGGAAAGCCTCTGTGGATATAATCGAACAACAAATGGAAAAAAACTCGTTAGGCGACGATAGGATAGCACTCTTTTTTGTAGCAGTTGATCAAGAAACTTCGATCAGATGGTGAATGTCAGAGATCTTGGGTCAGAGTTGACGGGATGGATCATATGAATATGATGCTTTACGTTTTTTTTTCGCGTCGTTTGTAGCAAAGTAATGCATAATCATTTCACGAAAAATGAGAATTGTCATTTAGCCCGGGCTACTTTGCAAGTCTAGCTTTCCACAACACCGAAGTGTTTCCCAAGATATGGGCGAGTTTGATGGCAATGTTATTTGCAGGACATCATGATGGTTTGATTCCGAATCCTGCGCTTTTCTATGGCATCTCATTGATCACTACCAGTGTTTAGCTCGTTATATGCGCTGATTAATGAAATTGTTCTGAAGGAGATATGGATTTTTGTTTTTCAATGAATAAAAAGGCAGCTTTGTTGTTGAACTTGAAGGTCACTCAGCCAAAAACCTCACAGCGCTTCCTTCCTTCTTGATTTCTTAAATCTCTTTACTCAATCTCAACTTTGGCTTGCTCTTGACCACTTTTACCTTTGCAATCACCTTTACGTCGGTAATTTCCTCTTTACCTTCAATCATCACTTTCAAGATAGTCTTTATACTCATATTGACTTGACTCTAATTCGATATCTTCAATTTGTGTCAACAGTAGGACATTTATTGTTCAATCATGTCCTTCGATTCACAATTTGACTTAGATTTGTACCTTGAACCCTACTATCATCAATCGTGAGTGCTTCTTCTGGCTTCTGTCTAGCTTTCGGTCATCTCGCCGAGCAGGGCGATCAAGTTGAAGTGTTCATGTTCCAAGCATTGATATATCTTCTTCTGGCTCGTAGCCTTTCAGCCCTTGACATCCAAAGCGAACATCCAATCTCATTTGCTTCACAATATGCTCCTTCGCAAGAGAAGTTGATGCCTTCACTATTCGAATCTCTCAACCCAGATCAACCTGGTCAGAACACCGGGGAATATCCCATCCTTGGTCATCTATTGAGTCCGCAGTCTTGGACAAATTCTTTCAATCTGGTCAACCTCAAACAACCAGATCTCATTGAGAGCTCACTACAACACCCCGGCCTCACTTCCCCAAGTCTTGAAGATGAGAATCTTCACTCGCTCACAAACGAAGTGGACGTGGTACTTTCTGCAAATAATCAAGTAGCAAGCTCGCCAATGAAGGGGAAGCGAAAGAGGTCCGCAAGTAGTGAAAACTTGGAGGTTTTTCAAGGTCTTACAACTTGCGAGACATACAAGATCTTCGAGTGCAAACTCGATCCAAATTGCTTTCAAAAATTTAACCGTGCTGAACATCTTGCTAGGCACGAAAGGTGTGGTTTCATTTCATCATTCTGTGTTATGTGACTCAATTTTCTGAAAATATATTTGATTTGATCTCTTTTAGGAAGCATACAAAAGAAAAACCCTTCAAGTGTCACTGTCCAAAGGCATTCAGTCGTTTAGATAACTGGAGGTAAGAACAATTTCAGTACCAATAACGAAGACCTTGAAGACTTTAACTTACTCTGATTTGATGTTCTAGACAACACAAACAGGCTGCTCACAAGCTTACTCCAGTGGCAAACGCAGAGCAGGAAAAACTTCTGATGCAAGTTCAGAAAGACTTGCAACGGTTAAACAAGTTGAGAATAGCGACGATCGTTGCTGAAACAAGACCAGTGCAGATCCCCACGACAAAAAAAGCGAAAGCTGCTCCAACCCAAGAAAGGAAGCGGGAAACGAAGAAGGCTCCATCGTTAAGCTTATCGCACGAAGCCAGCGGGCCGTCGAAAGTGCCATTTCAACCACCCGAGCCACCTTGCATAGATCTTCCACAGCTTCACCCTTACACTATAGTACCGGCTTTAGAATCCTATGATTTTTCAACTTCACCGTGTTCCAGTCATAGTCAAGGCTTCCCAAGCAATGCGACCGATCTGTCGGTATACTCATTTGGTATAGGATCAAGCAACTCAGATTTCACGCCGCAGGCCACCTATTCCACTCCCCGTGACTTCTCCACAAGTCCTTACTCAACCCCTATGGACTTCAATCGGGTGATCTCTTTCGAAGATATGCTTCATTCTAGCACGACACCTGTTCCTCAACTTTCCAGTTCTTTACCAGGCATTCATCCTGGACCTTCCTTTTCATCACTGGAACCGTTTTATTTCTATTCTAATCCTATTGAACCTTTTCCTTATGATCCTTCAACATTTGTACCTTCTCGTTCCTCAGTCCATTTCTCTGATTCTTCTGATGAACCTCTGAGTCTAAGTTATGTAAATCATTCATCTTCCTTGTAGTTATCAGTCCTCTTTTTCTTGTTTATCGCTAATAAAGCTTGTATTCCTGTCTCCTCTGCATTGAAAAGTTATTTTGTCCTCCAATTTGATGGGATGCCATAAGCTGTCATAAGAACTTCATCATGACTGTTCCTGTTTCACCTGTCTCAGTTGACGTAACACTCATAAGGGCCCAATGAGAAGCTGTCCTTTTTTCGTTACGATGGCTCTTAGGTGACATATCTCATGGACATGATATTTTCGAACCTTCGCACAATTCAAGAATGATCTTCCACTTCTGTTTTGATCATGGCTGGCTTTGTTAACCGCCGCATAGTGATCTCGTCCCTATCAGGAGCTGATTGTGTGTCTCTGGGCTTCCAAACAACACAACAACTGACGGGCGCATATGTAATATCATTCAGTTCATGTTCAAATGCTCGTCAGTGAATTTCATTCTTTCGTTCATGCACCAAATCATCACTGCTAAATCACTCAAGTCATGATTTTGAAATCTATCTATATATATAGTAGCAACATTTCTTGATACCCGTTTATTTCCCAGTTGTTTCCTCTACGGTTTTCCCACCACAAAGAACCCATCAAAAGAAATTCTACTAATAAAAAGCTACAGAGACGATGTAACAAGAAAAAGATAATACCCGAGAAAATGTGATGAGATTAGTTTTAAGAATCAAAGACTTAAACATAATCTCCTGGGTTCCAACCTCCTCTTAGAGTTTGACCGATCTGAAAACTTGTTCGACGTTGTTGTTTAGATGATACTCGACCTAAACATTTACAGAAATCCACATCAGATCAAGCACGAGAGATTTGGAGAAAAAAAAGGTCAAGAGAATGGAAACCTACCACCAGTGGTTCTCATCTCTTGACAAACAAATGCATTAGGTGCTCCTAACCATTCATCAAAATGATATTTACCTCCTGCTTCACGACTAGGTTCAACATCATCACCTGATCCGAATAAATCTAAAGCTAATTTAGTATGTGATACACCTGCATACGTTGTGATACAACGTGGATTGACAAGGATACGTGCTGGACTGAAATCCGAATTCGGTACTTCTTTCACTTTCGGTTTCGATTGATTTGTAACTTGTTCTTTTTTACCATTCGGCCCAGGGGAGGAAGTCACTGTCTTTCTCTTTATAACTTTCTTTCCCTTCTTCTTTTTTTTTGAATCCTTTTCTTCTTCTTTCTTTGAATCGCTCTTTCCTTCTTCTTTCTTTGATTCCTTCTTTTCTTCTTCTTTCTTTTCATCCTTGATGATCTCATCTCGTTTTTTCTTTTCTTGTCCTTTCGGTAATGGTTTCCCACCCACCGCCTTTTCTTCTTTATTCGTCACTCCTGTTACCTCTTGTTCGGCTTGTTCCATTTGTTTCTTCTTTTCTTCTTCTTTTTCTTCTCCTGCTGTTAAATCTCTTCCTGCTCCTACTCCATCTGTTTTATCAAAATCAGCTTGTGGTAAATGTTCATTATCAACCAAATCTACGTTTCCTTGTTGTTTTTCTTCTTGAATTATGTCAGTTTTCTTTTCATCTACAATCGGTTTAGTAGGTGTTTCAAGAACATTCTCTTCTACAGGTATTGATAATCGAGGTGAAATGACTCTAATTAATTCTTCCATTTCTTTCGATACACCTCTAGGTTGACCTGATTTTTCACGTTGTTTGGCTTCTCTAGCTGTTTCCTTGACTCCTTCTTGAGCTGCCATAAGCCAAATATCACGACAGAAATGCATTTGACTTGAATCCATACAAGGTCCTTCAGACCAAACAGGAGATTTACCAGCGCCAGCCGCAGTGATATTAAAGACCCCATCAATTGATGATCGATATTTGATTCCAGCGTAATAGGTAGTCGCAGGGTCAACGATATGAGATCCTGATTCACAACAGAAAACTTGAAAGGGTAAATGTTGATTGTAACGTGATGCACTGGCTGCATCACGAGGTGGAGCTTCGCTGAGAGGCGAAGTAGATTTGGATCCTCTGAACAGATTTCCGTCTAAATCACGTGTACGCCAGCTGATGATGAGAAAACCGAATTAAAGGAGTGATCAGAAAACCGATGAAAGATTTGAATTGATGTAGAATGACTCACCGATCATTGTAAATGAAAAACCCATTATGTTCTTTCCAATCCATACTACAGACCATTGTTGCTTGATTCATAAGACTGATCCTTAGAGTCTCTAGTAAGTCATTAGGACAAGTGAAGCCTTTAAGCCAAATCACCCTTGAAAACGTCACTTTTCGTCTTTCATATAATTCAAAGAGAGGTTCGAGTGCCAAGTTTCGAGTATAAGCTTCTTCTAATGGATAATAAGATGCAGCCGGATCTTCAGTCATAGGAGGTAAACGTCTAATTCTAAAAGGAATCCCTAAGATCAACATCACAGCCTCTGCCAGATCACAAAGAAATGGAGTTGAATCTGATGAAGCATAATCTACAATCGAAACAAAGATAGTTTGAGTTCCGACTTTCTTGGAACTTTGAACAATGGCAGCTAATTGATCTATAAAGAAATGATCAGCTGAATGAACTACTAAAGCAAAAAAATATCTCATTCCAGGTTTCGAAAGATCAGCATAAGGATCTTCATCATCACTTGCAAACGGTCTAGTAAGTGTTGTACAAGCTGCTGCGGCCCAACCATTAAATGATAATAATTCTTCGACTGTTCCTTTGATGACTTGTTCATCTAAATGAATCGTTTCAGGTGCACTTGCAAATGGTAATTGAAACCTTTGCCAAAAATCTTCCATACCAGTTTGAATATCTAAATCAAATAAATCTTTACCATCTTCTCTATTGATTCTAGATTGAAGAAATGGATATTTTTGAGGATTTAAAGCGGTTGAAGCAAGTGGTGTGCCTATGGTGATACGTTCGAATACATTTGCTATAGCTATTTCAGAATGAGCAGAGGTTTTAGTTGACTAGAAAAGAAAGATGAACCAAAAGTTAGTGAGAAGGTTTTTCCCATGATCGGTCAAGAGTTTCAGTTTTAGATTTACCTTTGAAGGAAAGAAGATAGATTTGATGAACCAGATTGCGATTAGAGAACCGATGATACGAAGAGTGAGTCTTTGATTTGAAGTGATAGCCATGAAGAAATCGATTGAAAACACATTCAAGAAGTTCAAGTGACCAAATCAAATTCACACTGAAACTCAAAGTGGTGCAACCCTATCACACTCAATTTGACTTCACACCACAACACACTATCGATTTCTTTAATCACACTTCATCACTTCTCTCTTGTGAGCACCTATCTACCACTTTCAACCCGAGCTATACTTACTCAAACCAACATGAAACACTTCTTTGCAGTTTGATTGGATTATTGTGGATGTACTTCTTGAATCACAAGACTGGCAATAGCTATCCAAGAGATCCTCATGTTTCACAAGTCAATCACAGGGGGGATCAATGATGATATGTTGTATGTCCGATGAAGAAACACATAAGTGATAGGTATCAGTGACATCCAACACTGTCAGTCAAATCCCATTTCAGATTCAGCGCTTCAGCTTCAACTTCAACTTGGGTTCTCAACTTTCCAAAATGCTGCAAATCTTTCCGGCAGCAATTTCAACTTGCTTTACATCAATCCTCAACACATCTCACAACATCCGACCTTCAATCAACCAAATCGTACGAGGTCAAATCCGATGTCGTGGTGATCTAGCACCACGTAAATTTAAATATCGAAAAGCATTTAAAGGTCGATTACCGATACGAACAGGTGGTTCAACTGTAGCAACTACATTAGAACATGGAGATTTTGGTCTTAGAGCACTTGAACCATGTAGACTGAGTGCCAAAACACTTCAATCTTGTGAAACGGCTATTAAGAAAGCCATCAAATCGGCTAAAGGTGCAAAGTGTTATTTGAGAGTGTTTCCTGATTTACCGGTTTGTGTTAAAGGAAATGAGACTAGGATGGGTAAAGGAAAAGGTCCATTTGAATTCTGGGCTTGTCGGTATGTTTGATTCTTGATTATGATTCATTGAATCTTACATTTTTTTTAGATTGAACCGGAATTGATGTGATGGAATCCACTTTTTTCTATCTTTTGATCTTCAGTGTACCTGTTGGTAGAGTTTTGTTTGAAGTGGGAGGAGGTCGGATTCAAAAGGAATTAGCTTTTGCTGCACTTCAACATGCCAAACCTCGTTTACCAATCAAAACCGAATTCATCGATCGTGATTCGAAAGCTAGACTTGGAAATCTTTTGATTGAAAAACCTAGGAGTGAACAGAGAACATCTTCGGCTATGGCTGAAGCATCTAATACTCCATTAGCTGTCATTGGTCGCATGTTGGAGGCTGTTAGAGAAACTAGAACATCATCATCAGCATCATCAGCATCATAGAGGCAGTTTTTGAATTCAAGGACACCAATGATCGAACCCATAATGCCATACCGAATATTCTTGGAATTGATACTACTACCGCCAGACTTCAGAAGTCAAAAACGAAGACCCAAATCCAATGGTTCGGACGCGCAGCTCAATGAAAGATAGTTAGGACGAGAGTTGTACGAAAGCTCCAATCGACCGACTTACACTCGAGCCATCATCCTGTTGGTAGACTCTATCATGATCCTCGCAATTTTGTAAAAACTCATTTTGAACTTGGTGTGAAGGCACCTACAATGAAAATTCTACCTAGATTATGTGGATGCAGAACCGCGTGATTGGTACGATCGTAGCTCAATAGTATACCATCTCGAGCTTATAGTGGCTTGACAATGCCCGGCAAAAAATATTACTAATGGTGTTATGCGTGCATCACGTGCTGATATTCCCCTTGGCCAAAGAGAAATGAGTGTGAAAGTGTGACTGTTGGAGGATCCGTAGTGTGACAGAGTATAACACTAGAAATGAATTTATGGATCGTTTGTCATTCCAAAATTAATAAAGTGTGTCATACAATCAAACTCAGAGTGATTTTATAAATCTTTTGCCTTTCCAAAATCCAATAAAGAGCTTAACTTACCCCCCAACTATCATGGGACTGACTCGCCATAAATATCTACATACAGTCAATTCCATAAAACTTGATCAGTCTTGTCGAAAAAACTCAAGGCTAGAGAAAATTTGAAATGAATTTGTCTCAAGCCATTTCTCATTCAAGAATATACCAAACCTCGATAACACTTGGATCAAAATCTACTTTGAACTAAAGCCAATAAGCATTTACTGAACATGCTTGAAAGCCACATATGTTTGACGAGCAATTGGATTTGGAACCCAATGCTTGACCCAAGTCCTATGCAGGAGTTAGTTAGGTGTTGTGTGGATTTTTTCCAAATGATATCTCAAACCTCATGAGCCAAACTAGCTTCCTCAAATTTGTTCCTTCGCGCCAGATCATGTAGTTTCCTGTTGAGTAAATACACGATGACCTGTCCCTAATACTTTCATTATCATTCGGTAGGTTCTTGTATATATTATTCTCAGTATCCTACTTGGTTAACTTTACATCTCACTTTCCAAAAGACCTTATGTTTTCAATCCATTAAAATTTCATAATCATTTCATAATCAGGTTTTACAAATACATACATACCACATCTTCAACCCATTTCACCTGCTATTCTTCTGATTTTGTAAAAGATGTGAAAATTGAAATCCAAAGGTATTGTGCAAGAGCTGTTCACCTTTTTGCTACCAGCCTGTCAATCATGCACATCATTTTCAGAGACAATCACTCTAAATACGATACCCCGATTTTCCTCGCTTGACACCACACAGGTCCTCTATGTGCAGGTCACGCCGCTTTACGAGTCGCTATCACTGGAGATTCCCGTATTGAAAGGGTTTTGAAATCCAACGGCTTCTTCCTCGGAATCAGAATCAGATTCCTTTTCTCTATCTTTACCTCTTGAAACATTTTTAGTAGGTGAATCCCAATCTGATGGAAAACGACCCAATGAGATTACAATCAATAAGTCAATTGGAACAAATATATCACTATCCTGAAAATGATCAAACCACGTTCTGAGAATGGTTTGGTGCGCGACTCACCTGCGACCCCCTTCAAGCGTATGGTCTCTAATGGAATAACGGGCCGTTCGATCGGAGCGTTTGAAGAGAACCTCGCATCTTTCTATAATATGCCAAAAACCGAGGGATCATCAGACCTGAACTTGCCCGGATCCCATTGATGCAATTGAAGATCTTGAATAACTAGTCAAAAGTTACTTACTGATTTGAATCGCTTAAAATTTGGTCCCGAATCTTCGCTCATCCTCTGCTTCGCATTCATGCCCACAGGTTTTCTCATCATCCTCACATAATCCACCTGGAAGGAACATTGAACGCCCGCACCCTCCATATCTTCCTTTGTCCATCGGTCCATTTCCCTTATTTCTTCTTCTGCCATATCCACTTCATTCCACCCGATCCGACGACATTCACTAGGAACACTTGTGAGGAGAACTGGTTTGGAGATGCGTAATTTGTTGAACTCTCGGTTGGCATCTAGCTCTAGATCAGTCATCTTCTTGCCATGAGTTTTGACGACTAGAAATCTTTCAGTCTTGTCATCCTCCACAGCTTTCCCTTTATCTTTTTGCTTTGAAGTGCCAGTAGCCTTTGAGCGTTTTGGGGTAGTGTTGGATTTTGGATCTCGCTTTCGACGTTGACGTGAAGTGGGTTCATCCGAATCACTATCAATCTCAATCGGTGAAATTGCACGCGGCTTTTTACGAGAATCACTAGTTGACATTGTGACATTGCCAGTATCAGGCTTATGTTTCCTTTTGTTAATCTTTTGACGTTCTGCGTCTCCTCGGAGCATTGCTGTAGCTGGTCCTTCGATATTGTTAATATCCTGGATGTCGATTCGACCATTCATTCTAGTACTTCTTACACTTGTGAATGCGGAGGAACTGGGTTCATCACGCCTTAGACGCGGTCTTTTGTCTGGACGAGGTGGACTTGGCAATGAGCTCTCGGGTTCCAAGTTGGCATGATCGTCAAAGGTGGGACAGTAGCGATCCATATCAAACTCTTGTCGATCTTGAGCTCGACGTTTGAGTAGTCGTTTTTGAGGTTGCTCTGAAGGTTGGAGAGAAGGACCGGGCTATTCAGGAAAAGATGATGCTCAGATCTTCTATCTCCACCAAAAGCAAAAACATTGGATTGTTCTATCACACACAGTTTTTGATGAATAGTCTCCTGTGAGCGGGTTCGATGGAGATCGTCCAGAACCATTCGAAGCGCTAACTTGATATCGATCAGACCTGGTTGTCAATTGTTTCCTATCATTCTTAGCCAGGACAATGGCCTACTAAAAAGATGAATATCTTAGTTCTGATCTCAGTCAAAGCTTTCAAAAGACTCACAGCACTGGCCGACAAATCACCAGATTCGTTGGCTACATCAATCCTTGCATTCTTTTTCAATTCTTCTAATTCGTTTGGCTCTGGCTCATCGCCAAACATACCGGCATAGTCTCTTAAACGTTGTTCGGATGTCCTCAAGGCTGCCCTGCGAGGCTGAAAGGAGAAGATAAGCACAGTAGTGATGTAAATAAGTGCTCTCAAACCAATTACATCTTGAAGATGGATGGTAAACACTAACTGGTAGTTTCCGCTGGGCAGGCCGGGGTGGTGATTGCGTAGGTAATACCTCATCCGCATCAATTATGGAAGTGGCCCTATCAGCTCTGGAGGTAGCTGTGGCGATCTTGTTACTAGTGACAGGCTCTGATGGTTCTGGGGAAGATTCATCACTAGTTTGAACTCGAGTTGATTTCTTTACTGATGGCTCTGTGTTCAACCAAATAAATCATACTGGATGAGTTGCACTTCAGGTCTTCAAAAGAGGAAGACCATTGACATACGAGTAGTATTCCTGTTGTCTGAACGGCTCGATGGCGATGAATGAGATGAATGTGAAGGACGTGAAGCATATCTGCTCGTCATGATGAAATGAATCAAGTTCAAGTTTCAATGGTTGATGATTTCAAATCATTCAAAGCTTAAGGTCTGTCACAAACAAACATTCTTTAGGTCTTAAGTACCTGGAGTGCTCTTTAAGTACTTAGTCTAGGTTGAGCTTACCGTTCATGTTCCGAATCCGAGCCTTCACGAAAATCGAATGAACGTCATTGGTTGGCTATTTCGACTTCAATTCATATTTACCAATCTCTTTGATTCAACAACCTTCAAGACCACTAACCCATCCAAATGGCGGCCAGAGCACCCTTAAGTTTGCTTCATGGTAAGCTTGAAACTATAAACATCTCAACCCAACAGCGACTTCTTGCTGACCAATTTCATTTGGGTTGACCGTATCAGCTGGTAATAGCAGTAGACTTTTTCTTGCCCGATCACAACCCTCTCTCCTCCAAATCGCTGCCTCGCGTCATCAACAACAAAGGTTCATGGGATTCTATCTCGATCTTTTTCGAAAATGGAATCAAACTCATACTTCACGTAACTCGCCACAGGTCTTCTAGTTCGAAAGTTTCACAGATTTCGGATCAAGATGCTATGAACTTACTCAACCAACAAAGAAAATTGAGGCCTACCTCACCACATTTTACTATTTATGAGCCTCAGGTAAGCGCTCATAGTGTAATCTCACATAAGCAACCGAATCAGCATCCAATTCCAGTGGTCTTTACTGAAGAAATCTTGATGTCTATTCTAGCTTACTTGGTTATCGAGTATTGCTAACCGAGTCAGCGGCTCAGCATTATCAGTAGGTAAGTGGCTCTAATTTCAATCAGACCTAATCATTTATTCTAAATGTGATGCTGAAGTTGAATCGTACCAGGATTGTACGTTTTCGCGTTAAGCTACATGGGCTTACCCGCTGCCGGAATCCCTATGGATTCAGAGACTCTAGTCCAATTAGCAGCATCTGCTCCCGAATGGTCCAAAGTAAGCGGATCCCTCTTTGGTGAACAAAGGATGTATACTCATACGTGATGATTGGTTGAATTCTGTAGGTTAGTGCCAAGGCTTTAGTGGCTTTGCCTTTCACTTTTCACACATTTAACAGCTGTCGACATTTAGCATGGGATATGGGATATTGTGAGTGATTTCCTTTTTTAATCTCGTCATCAATACGTAATCAACATTGCTCATGTTCTTGCATTCTTACCCAGTCATGGAGCTCAAGTCCAGTTACGCGGCTGGTAAGCTTTTGATCTGATCGATCGTCACATAATTTTCAAATGACACATCTAGCCATCGCTAATATGTTATGATTGGATAGGTTATGCTGTCATGGGAGCAACAGCGGTTTCAACTGTGGGCCTGGCGTTGATATAGGTTATCCCATAGGACCACCCCATTCGATGTATGATATGTGACCATTATTATTGAAGATAAGACTTTCTCTGGGTGGTTGGTTTGAAGTCTTTTTCATCTTTTCAGCATACAACACGATAAAAATCACATCAATGTGTTTATCTGATAGAGGGTTGTCAGGTTGGGTGGATGGGGAGTCCCATGTAGTTTTTCTCAACCACTTTCGCATCTGCTACTATTCAACAGTGCCCATAGTGGCTGAGCCCTATTACTGAATATAGCAATGGGGCTTTCATCTCCCCTTGCCGTGTCAGCCCCTACTGCTGTTGTGTTCATATTGGTATAAACCCCCAAACCTATCAACTTGCCTGAACCTAACCAAGGCCCTCTCTCTTGCTCACGAGTAGTCACAGATTGAAGCCTGTTTGTTGCCCAAGATCAGCAATACGTTGAATCATTCTTTCTTGATCATCCAACTTGTGAAACTTCCACACTTCTTCAAACTTTGATTCCAAGTCAAGCTGTAAGAGTTGGCCGGGCTTCATACAGGCGCTTGTGCATCTTCTGGTGCACATTCTCTCCATCAAACTCATCTGGAAGAGTTGTTAGAGATTGGAGCTATACAAGGTGCTAAAAAATTGACTCACTGGTAAAACAACAGGATGAGACATTTAAAACTGGGCAACATACACTGTGTCTGTAACCTTGTAGCAAGTTGATGTGCACACACCAAAGACTTTTGATACATACTTGAAAGATCCTTTAAAGAGGTCTCCAGGATAGGCACATCTTCCCTTTGTCAACTGGGATGTTGACCCACAGTTGACCCCAAATGCTGACAAAGGATCCCACAAATCCTTTAGTCAAATGATCATTCACAAAGGGTACTCAACACCAATCTCAGTCTAAAGCATACCAAAAGATTTTCTGATTTTTTTCAAAACTCTCCGTGTGTGGATGTTGACATGCTAAGATGATACCAACATGGTGATACCAGTACTGCATCACATTGGGTCCCAGAGGCAATGTAATTCTGTCACCACCTTGGGCCGGGTTGCTCCTTGTTGTAATCAACACATCCACAGTTACTATACTGGTATAGTGCAATACCTGGAAAAGTACTGACCTCATGATACTACTCTCAAGATACTTTAGTAAAGTACCAACAATCCTACACTATTACCCAATAGGGTATTGGATTCCACAACACCATTGCAGACCAGCTCAAGTAAAGTAACACCAACATTAGGTCCAATAACTATGGTGACTGTGGACTGCCAAAAGAGTCAAAATCCCAAAGGGCAAAAGATCAACTTGAAAATTGGTTGCAAAGCCTTGTTTATTTTATCCTGAGTCTGACCAACAACATGTTGCCTACTGTCACTTCCTGTCTCATCTGCTCAGTGTTTATTCCAACAAGTGTTTCTTTATATCAGCTACAAATTCTGTCTCTGGAGACTGAGTCATTATAAGGAGCACTGGACTTACAATGTGGAGAGAGTCTTCTTCTGCAAAATTCAATGTATCACGGTTGCAAGATAACATCACAGGGGAAATCACAAGTATTTATTTGAAAGATCATTATGATATCCATCAAAATGACTCATGAAGATGCTTTTAAAGATCATCATCTTGAACCACTACAGTTTTACAAGGCTCAGGTTTCTAAGAGGATCACTCACTGGGTCAATGTGAATCAGGAAATCAGGACCAATATATCATGCATAGATGATTTGCAAACAAATAAATAGGAAAAGAAAGTTGGAAGAAGGGATTTTTTTGGTACAAACTTGCAACAGACTTGGGCTCAAGATAGGCTCAAGCAGGCTTTCAGGGGGAGTTTGATATGAAAATTTCATGTTTTCAGGGGTTGACGCATCTGGAGCTTCACAGCCACCATAGACACCAGTACTGTATCAAGTATCAATAATTTTATCAATACTGTCACAATATACCATTACAGGTATCAGCACCAAAATAGCTTAACAAGGCAGTATTGTTTCAGTTGAGTGGGGATTAAAAGAACAAACAAAATAGTGGTACACAAAGTTAAAAACCACACAAGAAAACCATATGAAAAAACCATACAGATTTTTTGGTTTTTGTGGGGAAAATCAAAAAATCCATGTGGTTTCATGCAGGTTTTTCATGCAGGTTTTCAACTTTGTGTTAAATGAAAGTGGTGTGTTTGAAATTTAATGTAGAAAAGAAAAGGAGAAAAAAGGTCACAGATTATAAAACCAAAGGGATGTTTGAGTTTAGAAAGGAGAAGAAGAATAAAAAACAATCAGTGTGTTGAGACAAGAGATAAAAAAAGACAAAAGAAATAGAATTGTTTTTTTACTCTTTATTTTTGGGTTTATCCCCTCCTCTTTCAATTTGATTTGATCAATGCCATACTATGTGCCACACCTCTTTGACATTCTAAATACTCATCATCTGCTATAGCAACTCAATTTTTTGACCACATTTATGATCCTACAAAGTGTTCCACTTTTTCAAGCTCCTTGATTGTGGCACAGACATCTTCAGCAGCTATGAAAGTCCTGTCAACTGCACATGATGCCCCATAGACCACTTGATGATCTTTGGCCAGAGACAATAGCACAGGCTATCTTACTTCATTCACCTAGTAACAAGATGATGTATGTCAACAATCAAAGTCAGCTTTTAGTCAAAAAAACAAGAGGCATATAAAGTTTTATTTACCTTACCACATTATAAGGCAAGATCTGGGTCCTTTTCTACTGCCTTGGATGTCTCATCAACAAGCTCAAGGTAGTTGCAATTCTTGCTTTCCCAGAAAGTCTGCACTTTATTTTGATGTGATTGAAATCCATTGTCATCATTGTCCTCTTTGTTGTTTGAATAAGTTGCACCATCCAGATTGTTCTTACCAGCATCCAGTTTGCATTTTTGTATGTCACAGGCAGTTTTGTTGGTGTTCAATTGACTGATGCAAGTCAAACCAAGAAGCAATTAGAGGTTAGAGAAATGAATACAGGGAGAAGGAGACATCATAAAATTGGTGAAATAAAGGATATTCGAATACATGATATATTGATTGAAAGAAAGTGAAAGAGATGAGTGAGGAGCATAATTATCTACCCCAATTAATTGGAAACTCACAACTCATAGAGAAATTGTGAGAAAATTGTACCAATTCTCTTTTCCCATCTTTGGGAAGAGAATGTATGAATGATTTAATTTTTGTTATCTTTTTATTTCCTTAAATTGCTTATTCTGATTTTCTATATTTCCTAGTGTTGATTTCCCTAGATAAAAAAAGCTCATTACTTGTATTATTCATTTCATCTTTATTCACTTTACCAAACCATTGTAGGTCAGGACTGTCCTTAACAGCAGGATATTGGTGTTTGTTCCATATAACATGTAGCACATTTTATCAGGACACTTTGATAGTGTGAGGATGTTACAATACACTTTGACATTTTCAAGTTTGTAACAATCCTTGAGCAGCTTTGTATTCATAAATTTCATCTCCAAATTCAGATTGAAAGTAATCTGTTTGCCAGCAGCGGCGAAGGATAGTGGCTATGTTTAATACATGTGATTTGAGTGCTTCACCTAACTATGAATTAACCCAGAAATATATTGCATGGTTAATTGGGAAAAGAGGGCTGCCTCAGAAACTACATGAATCAATTTTATCTTGAAGGGATTTGGCAAGTTTGACATATTGAGGAATGACTAGAGATTCAGTTGGAGCTTTGGATTCAAATAACTTTGTCAACTGAATGTCAGAAAACCCCCAACCTCAGCGCAGTGCAGCGCATTTTGCACAAAAAATGTGCTGCACTGGTAATTGAACTTTGAGTACCGTGCTGTGAAAGTAGCGCAGTGAGTCAGAAATGGGAAGTCCCCTGTGCTGCACACATAAAAGTACAGTGCAGGGGTCATAATTGGCGGGTAAAAAGAAGCTTACAGCAGCAAAAACTGGGCTGCAGTGCAGTGCAAATGTGAACAGTGGCCAAAATGCCACTGGTACCCTGTGGTGCGCAAAGGCACAGTGTCAAGTTCAGCCAATATCAATGCACTGGTGACCAGCACAGCCACAGATTGCAAGCAGTGGAGTACGCAGTGAGCCAGGGGTTGTGTCAGGGAAGGCACAGCACAAAAACTCAGTGATATCAATAGATAGAGATAGATACAAGATAGTGGAATAAAAGAGAGCTGACACAAAGCACCTTAATCAATTTTCCTACTTGCTTCCATTGTTCAGTGGAGATTCAAACTTTGTTGAAATACCACAATTTTGATCTTGATTTGGATTTCTAGGTCCCAGTTTGAAATTTTGATATTTGCACTTTTTGACTTTGGAGATCTCCTTCTGATTTTCTTTAAGAATTCTGTCAATGACCTGCAATAAATGAAGGAGCATTAGAAGTTGATTCCAAGGAGGAAAATATAGTCAGAGGTAAAAATTCAAACATTGTGGGTGTTAAACAACGTTTCCCAACATCAAGACTTAATGTTCCATTGGATTCTGTACCCTGGAATCAGTCCAGGAAAAGGTATATCCATACTTTTGCAAGTTGTATAGAAAACTTGCAACATTCTGGAAGATCCTCCAATATTTTCAGCAATTCTATCAAGCCAGAAAAAAACTCATTAGAAATGTCATAAAGGAAAGCAGTGTTAAAAACAAAAAGACATGCTGCAAGTGCCAAATGATATACAACATTGGCCTTGGTGCTATCAGTTGCAGGCTGATTGGGAGGAGGTTCAGATGGTCCATCAATAACATTGTACCATTGATGACTGAATTCATTTCCTGGTAAATCAGTAATTCCATTCTCATTGTAATCTTCTATCTCACCTTCTCCTATACCTTGATCTTTGTTGATAACTGCATCTTGTTTTTCTTCATCTTCTTTGGGAATAGATGTCATAGGATGTTCAGAAAGGGGAAATTTTCCAAGCATCATGGACTCAATCAATGGAGGTGCTGGAGCTTAAATTTCCATCACTTGAAGTCCAGAATCAACTCTCAAAGCTATTTTGTGACTGGCACATTGAACTTGGTCAGTAGGCTCATCAAAGTCAAATTGTTCATAGTTGGCCTTTGCCATTTTTGAGAGCTGTGCTTGCATTGCATAAGCACATATTGTTATCACCACCTGAATTGTGAGTCTGTGAGACCCTGTATCCATAAAAATTGTATGTCAGCCGGGTTTGTTGAGCTTGTATATAATTTTTTGTTTTATGTATTTTACAGTAAAGGCTGTGCATTGAAAGTACATTGATTAGTGACTAGGCAAACCATTACACCTTATAGTGCCATACAATCATCTTCATGGAGAGATGACAGTGCACATACTTCCATTAAGAATTGATGTATGCAACCAAAGCTGA